GGTTCATTGTCGATTCTAAATTGCCCATAGGTATAAATGGTTGTCTGTCTCTATATGTTAGCCATACAACAGACTGGTTACCTGTTGCCCTAAGACAGCTGTGATAGGCTCCATGACTAGTTTGCTCGTCTTTGTTCTCACGTCAAAGAGGGGTTTCCAAAAGTCATTATTAAACTAAGCTGGAAATCCCTTTGGAAGACCTTCTAGACCGGGGGTGGGCAACTCCAGGCCTCGAGTGCCGGTGTCCTGCAGGTTTTAGTTGTGTCCTTGATTGAACACAGCTGATCTAAATTGCTAAACGACCTCCTCAACATGTCTTGAAGTTCTCCAGAGGCCTGGTAATGAACTAATCATTTGATTCAGGGGGGTTGACCACAGGGTGAGATCTAAAACCTGCAGGACTCCGGCACTTGAGGGCTGGAGTTGCCCACCCCTGTTCTAGACTATGGGCAAACTGTAAATCATTGTGCAATAAAGGGACTATGTCTATGATCAGCATAAAGGACTCTGGAGAACAACGTGTGACCTTTGATAAATCTCGCCTTGGAAATTGTTGGAGATCTTTTTGGCACATTATTTTTCATCCACTCTTCCTTATCTTGGGCCTCTGATAATTTTGTACTTGTTTCTGCAGGACTAAGCAGGTATCAGTCATCATGTTGGCAAAAGAAATCACAGAAAAGCAAAAACGTGTATCCTGATACTGAAAACCCCATTTTTTTAAGGCTTTCTCCAACATAAGACTATCTGCCCCAATGACAGGAATGACCCACACCTTTTTTACATCTTCGCTCATCTGAAGAGTCATATGATGACTAGTGGGTTGATGACCCTCAAGACAGCCCACACCGGGGGTTTAATAAACTGTGACTCTCCACCAGCTGTTGTAGAACTGAAGAAGCTTCTTGAAAAAGAGACAACACATCTTCAAAAACCTAAAGACATCCAGTTGCATTTTTTAAGCTCTCAAGATTAGAGAGAAGATATACAGAAATATTAGAAAGAGAACTCCTTAAGCGCCTTGAGGTGACTGTTGTGATTTGGCGCTATATAAATAAAATTTAATTTCATTTAATTCAATAATCTGATGATCCTCGATGAGCAAGTATCTGGCGAGAGTAGGAAGGAAGGGCTCCTATTTAACAGGAAGAACAACCAGATTCAGGGTGTCATGAAATGAGGAGGAGGACCCCCAAATGCTGTCTTCAACAGACAGATTTAAAGGAAAACTTAAGTGAAGGTTTTGAAGATAACATAGTCCAACAGGAAGCTAAAGCCGTGGAATCCAGAAGAGTCATGTGATCAAAAAACTTACTGGCAACACACCATGACAGATGACTAATCCACCAATAAAACAGATTAGAGGGCGTCTTTTAAGCAAGAGCCACTTAGGGGAAATGAATACAACTATGGAGAACACACAGGTATCAACAATCATGGAAAAAAGACTAGGGGAAATACAACTGATTACTAAACATGTGAGACAAACACTACCAAAGTAAAACAGGAAACAAATAACATTTTACAAAGATAGCAAGATACAGGAAACATGGGGGAACCAGAACAAACAGAATCAGGGAATATAAGCAAACTATAACCGAGAACTAAAATAGACAGCAAAACTAAAACTAGGGATAGCCCGAGGATATACGCAAAGAAACCAACCGTGAATATCTGCAAGAAAAAAAATAGCAACTCAAAGCACAATAACAGAAGAATCACAAAAAGAAACACAAACCTTAAAACAAAACCTAGTGTCCGTGACATAGAGAGGGACAGTCATCTACAGCAAGAACAAGCAGGACAAA